TGTGGCGGATAAGTCCAAGTTCGAGGTCTGGGCGAGGCACTTTTGCTGTGCAGTGGTAAGTCGTCCCGCGCTGTTTTGTTACACTGACTCAGTCTCTTAGGATCTTGCGCGCGATATCCTCATCCCCGAGGAAGACCTTGTGCCGCATATCAACACCGCGTGCAGTCATCTCTCGGGATATTTCCCTGCTCCAGGGGACGAGCTTCCGGAGTGGGCGCGGAGTGCGCTGTCTGCTGGCTTTGAACGCATGCACAGCGCCAGCGAGCTGCGCACACGCGCGTCGCTGCAGGCCGAACTCACTAGATTGATGGCCACGTCGCAGGCGACCGTCGATGCAGCCGCATCGGAGACAGAGGAACCACCGACGAAACGGCGTCGTCAAGCCAGGGGTCCGTCAAGAAGGACGACGTCGAAAAAGACGACGTCGAGAAGGACGACGGGTACGTCGAGCAAGACGATGGAGAGGAAGAAGCGCACTGAGGCGATCATCGCGATGGGGAAAATCGTGTCTTTGGGTCGTGCGGTAAGTCGGCAATATACTCTGCGATGCGTATTTATTTACTCTTCTAGTGTGACCGCTGTTTCAACATGGGTATTGCGGTCAGCGAATGCAAGGTCCGCGAAGACACGATGAGTTGCGACAAGTGCGTCCTGGATAGGAAGGGGTGTAGGTTCAACGACGAGCCTGCTCAGCTGCCGACGGAGGACGATGCGGACGGCGAAACGGAGGGACCGGAGTCTGAGGACGAAGATCTGGAAGAGCCAGGTAAGTCCCGGTCCCGTTTGGCGTTCCTTCGCACTGAGCTAGTTTCCGTGCAAGATATCGTCGCTGCTACGACTGTCGCTGACGAGTTCGGGACCCGCGCAGGTACCAGAGAAGGTAAGTCTCAAACCGGTTTAATCCATAGCGACGACTCTGCATGATTCACAGCTGATGAGGACGTGACGATGCAAGTGCCCGAAGTCCCCCTCAACGGTAAGTCGCACAATTCTCCTCGATGCTGAGGCCACTAAATCGCCCTCCCCAGAAGCGCCACGCACACCGGATCGGTCTGAATCTCCACCATCCTTCCACTCTGCGACTCCTCTGCCGTCGACTCACCCAGCGCTCGCCTCCCCTGGGCCCTCGAGTCGCCCGATCGCGCCGATTCCCCCGATTGCGCCGATTCCCCCGAGCCTGCCCACGCCCTCCGCTGCCGCGATGGGATTTGCTGCGGAAGATGACTTGGCCACTATCGGCATGTCGCGCGAAGGGATCATCAAGATTCGCGTTTTGCGCAGCGAGCGTAAGCTTCTGATGGATCGCCTCGCGTCCATTGAGCACCAAATCCGACTCAACGAGGCCCTCGAGCGCGAGATGACTGGCGAGGACGTGATGGAATGCAGCGACGAGGATGAGCCGTGAGTCATGTGCGCGAGTTTTGGTCGCAGGTTAGGGGTGCGATTTTCTTGACCCATTCTTGATCGTTGGTTTAACATCCCGTATGAGACGTTGTATAAGACCGTAATGTACCACGAACTAGCTGTGACGCGTTTTAGTTCTTGTCATATATATATCCTACCTACCTGTTGCAATGCGATCATATGTATGAGACGGTGGTGTCGCTATCAAGTGATTCACTGGCAACCGTCTCTCGGTTGTCGCGGGCAATCGGGTCCGATTGATCATTGTCGCCATGACTGATCAACGGACAGCGATGCAGTCAGTGTGTTGCATCAGTGGCGACTTGCTGTGCGAATATGGGCTACCTGAATGGGTGCCATTGCGAGGACTTAGCCATTGCGTCCCGTCGTTTCACATGCAGTACAGTTGCAGATCTGCTTCAACACCACTTGGACCTTCGCTACCTAGTGGGCGACGTCATATGAGGCATCCGGGTGCGCTGAAATTACCGTGAGGACACACGAACGGTGCTCTCATACAAGGGTGCACACGCGATCGCGATGAATACATCCCAAATCTTTGGGTGGTCGCGACTGTTCTATGACGTGTGATTCCAGTCGCCTACGCTGATGTGGTGCACCCGTACAATCCATCTGCGACTCAACTCGTCGCGAACGCTGCGACTGAGTTATTGCAGTTCATTCTGACCTCCGAAGACAGGAATACTGTATATGCGCAGCCATATCATACCCTGGTATTGAATCGCTGAACGCCGCGCCTTTGATTTGCTTCGATCTGCATTCCAAACTTCTGATCGGCCATCTTCTAACCCTTCATCGACATCTCTTCACTCATGTCGGGATATGCACCACTCATCGTCAAAGACAGCCCCTACGTGACGTCTTCTGTGGCACTGCGACTCTGAACACACAAATGTGTCGCTTCCACACCCCCAATCTCTTGGTACTCAATGTCCAGTTTAGAGGGCCGAGAGGGAACGCTTCCTGTTTCGATCTGCGACTCGGGCATGGAACCTTGTTATGCACGTATGCAACCGCCATGTTGAAATCTAGTGAAGACCTGGAACTTACACACACGCGTGCGCAGCCCTCAGCGACAGCGATGCGGCGTAGGCGTTAACCGTGCGACAGATGTAACAGATGTTCCGAACTCGCTTGCACACAGCGAAATGGCTCGCCACTGACTGAAGTGCGACATGGGTTATTACGATTATGAGCGTTGTACCTTTGGAAGCAAGCCAGTTCAAATCTTGATCCATGTAGCACCTCTATGTGAGACCTCAAGCTCCAGCACGCTTTCGCCATAGCTCTGTCGCTGTTGTATCTGGATACTAGGCCATATTAACTGGGCTTCATTCTTGACCCCCGATCGCGTGGTTCTCGCGCACGATATTGAGTCAGTGATTTTGCGTGACGCTAGTCCCTCACTGCTTTTCAATGTTACTTCCACTCGTTCAATCATGTTCCAAACACTGCAACCCACAACTTGGTCTCACATTTAGGTAAGAGGCATATTCCATTGTAGGGTGCACAGACGGCCGTAATATCCCTCCAGCACTGTTACAAGCATCTCGGTCGACAGCAATTGCCTTGAGTCGGAGTCGCCCACCATATGGCCAAGTCGCTTCCAAAGGCCTATATTCTGGTCGAAGTAATCAGCAGGGCGATTGCGATGTTAGTCTTCATGTGCCGAAACAGGCCACTTTTGAACCATCCATCGGTAGATGGACGAGTCAATGGGCTAAGTATACTAGACTCGAGTCTTGGGTTAAATTTCATAACTAAGCCGAAGACATGTCCCATGGGAAATATGGTGTGAAATGTCATGTTCGTGACATCATTGTGGAATATTAACCATGTTTTCGACCGCGACCGCCAGCCTTAAACATGCGATCGCGAGGATGGCAACCGCAACTGGCGAAGCCTAAACCACGCGATTGCTGCCAGTTCTGACTTTGAGGCACGCAATAACTGCGATTGTGGTCCTTTGATATGCAATTACGGCGATTGCGATCGAAATGCATGCCATTACTGCAATTGCGATGTTCATCTACGCCAGAGCACCATCATGTATGCAATTGCTGCGATTGCGATGGCAGAGATCGCAATTGTCATGTATGCGATTGCTGCGAGTGCGATCGTCAGGCATGCGATTGCTGCGATTGCGATTGTCAGGTCTGCGATTGCTGCGATTGCGATTGTCAGGTCTGCGATTGCTGCGATTGCGATCGTCAGGCATGCGATTGCTGCGATTGCGATTGTCAGGTCTGCGATTGCTGCGATTGCGATTGTCAGGTCTGCGATTGCTGCGATTGCGATTGTCAGGTATGCGATTTCTCCGATTGAGCGTTTTGAGCCCACGTTCATTGCCATTACAATTCTCAGATATGTGCTCACGACCATCTCAAGGTTCAGGTACACAAACATTACAATGACAATTGTCTAACATGCAATCACTGCAATTACGACAATGATGTATGGTACGCCGGAAGGCCACAGTTTGATTTCGGTTTGAGGTGGCTGTTGCTGAGGCCCGATCCGCTAACGTAAGCTAGTCTGGCCAAAAGTCTTGTGCTAATTTGGCCTCTCCTCACTAAAATCATGTTCTACTGAGTGCTACAGACTATTCATGATCTGTATCGGGTTGAATTTTAGCTTTTGAATACATTGTGGGGACTCCATGTCTAGGATTTGAGCCAGAATAGCTGGAACCTTGGTAAGCACCATTGGGTAATGGTCACACTTGCTGGTGGATGACGTCTTCATTCTGTACGGGGGCAATTGGGTGCAATGCTTTGCTTTGATTCCTAAGTGGCTTGAATTGCAGAAAATGGTTGGAGAACTCACATTGCTGCAGATGAAAAGAACTTAAGTGCAACTGATGTCCGCCACCAGTCCAATTTAGGCAGGTGTGACGTGAGTCTGGAGTGCTTACGGAGTTCCAGTGCTCTGAGACAGACAATCCATACCACAGAACACCCAAAATCCATTGAAAAGCCAATGATGCACTCAATAATGCCTCTTAATTATCTCAGAGTACATGGTAATGAGCTAATCTAAGGGAGAGCACAGACAAGGCCATGCAACACTCAGCCAGAGTGGCTTACTTAAGCAGAGCAGGCCTCAGTAGTGGCCATACCATGGCTGTATCACTGATTTTGAACTGTGGCCTTCCTGCCGACCTTAATTATAATAATGATGCTTGTGATTGCTGTGATCACCAGGCTGCAATCATAATGAGCATTGCAAACCCGTGGCTTCACCACGGGTTTACAGGGCCATTTTTTCATTCAGGGCTTCATGGAACTTTTAAGATTTCATACTTATGCAATGCCAGACCTGGGTGTTGCCTCAGGTCTGGCGGCAGTTCTTTCATTCTGTGCTTTGGGTTACGATGAAGGTTATATGCTTGGGCATTGCCAGCCCATGGCTTTCCCACAGGCTGGCAGCATGTTTTATTCAATGCTGTGGGATAGTATTCATGCTACCTGGCCCGTGGTATACTTTCAGTGATATCCTTGTCTTCTTGAATATCAGGGCAATTATGTCCTGGTACTGATATTCCCTATTTCCCAGTAATTATGCCTCATTTTCCTGGTACTACTCAGATAATTATCATATTGCCTGGTATTAAATTCCTGGTGCGATCAATACTTGCACCACTGATTTCCCCTTATTTTCAGTCTTGTATTTGCATTTTAATTCAATTTTCCCAGTGTGTGTAACCCACCCAGCAATACTTCTTGTCTTGTTGAATGCAATCTGCTGCAGGGCAAATTTTTGGATATCACCACCATTTCATTCTAATATTTCCTGGTAATGATATTCCCTGTTTCCTGTTTTCCCATTCTCAACATGTTCTGTTTTCACAGTGCTGACTATTTTTCCCAATACACATCATCCCATTTTTGCAGGTCTCAGGAACACCTCAGTACTCACGGGTCTTATTTCTCGGAACTGAATTGTCCTGCATTTGGTATTACTCATACTGATTTCCCTACATTTCACATGGAAATCGTGCTTGGGGACAGCTTGGGCAGGGTTGCAGGTGCCTGAGAGCAAAAAGCACCCAACCCACGTGACCGGTAGGTTAGCTGAGGCCATGTGGCAAACATGGATGCCATGTGTGATTCTCATGGGGGTAGTCCTAAACCATGCAATTTACGTACACCGCATTGACACTGCCGTCCCATAATGATATCAATGTGTATGGTGTTGTGTGCAATTGGTGACACTCAATTGGGGACATGATTGGGTATGCTGTTGTGCAGTGTAGCATAATTGATGTTGCACAATCACCAATATCACCACTAATACACATGTATATGGTATGGCACATTGGATGTAGGGTGATCACCAATACTGTAGTGTGCTAACACTTGTTGTACGGTTCCCGCCACAACCACATTGTGTGACAATCAGGCCATTCTCTGTAATCAAATTGCGCCGTTCCTGTGTCAAAAATGGCAGGAGAAATTGTGGAACGTACTGGGTGGACGGAACACAAGACCACAAGTTGCTTGTAGATCTCTATGCCCCCACAGCCGCCCTCCTCTGTGTTTGGCATGACTGAGGCTAGGTCTTCAGCTAGGTGCCAGTCATCTTCAGCAGTGACTGGTACATGACTGTGGACATTCATACACCAATTGAATGCCAGAGCAATGAGCAATGCACATGCATCCTGTGGGCTGTCTGCCCATACCCCTGTGCCCAGGCTTTTGCAGGTTGCCTTCACACTTCCCCAACTTGATGCACATCTTGATAAATCCTAGTTCTTCAACCCAAATGGTGTACGAGTCCCAGAACTCTTTCCGGAGGATTTCGAGATGAACATGTTGTACATAGATGATGTCAGCTTCCTTTTTGGTTTCCACCAATATCCTGCCTTAATCCTACAAGGAGGTTTCAAGTTTGCTAATACCAGAGAGAACCAATGTAGTGTGCTGTAATCATGTCTTCCAGCACATCCACCTGTCCCTTGATCAGGGCTCCAAAGCCAGCGAGAATAGGTAAATCTGTGCACTTCTCCCATTAATCTGGACAAGTTCATTTGTGCTATAGCCAGGAGCCCCTATTGCTACCAGCAACACCATACAGAAGATAGCAATGTCCAGGCATTTGAGTCCAAGTATGTTAGGTTGTGGTGTGATTGGTGTCCGGCCATAACCAAAATTGCGAGCAATTGCACAACTGATGATGCGCCATGAACAAAATTGCAAGTGGTTGCACAATGGATAGTGCATTACAACCCAAATTGCCACCAGTACACATGGATATAGTGTTTCGCAAATGACAACATGCCACAACGCAAATCGCGAGTGATTGTGCAACTGACAATGCACCATAAACAAAAATTCAAGCGGTAGCGCAACAGATGATGCGCCATAACGAGTATTGCCACCAAATACACATGTGTATAGTGTTTTGCAACCAAGGGTGCATCATAACCAAAAACATGAGCGATTGTGCAACAGATGATGCATGACAACCCAAATTGCCACCGATACACATTTGTATAGTGTTTCGCTACTGACAGCATGCCATAAACAAAAACGCAAGTGATTGTGCAACAGATGATGCACCATAATCAGTAGTGCCACCAAATACAACTGACGATGCACCAAAACCGCAATCGCGAGCGTTTGCGCAATGAATGGTGCCCTGCAATCCAAATTGCCACCAATACACATGCGTTTAGTGTTTTGCAGCTGACACCGCGTCATAACCAAAATCGCGAGCGATGCACTACTGACGATGCACCATAAACAAAAAATGCAAGCAATACACATGTGTATAGTGTGGTGTGATTGGTGTCCGGCCATAACCGAAATTGCGAGCAATTGCACTACTGACAATGCACCATAAACAAAAACAGAAAACGCAAGCAATACACATGTGTATAGTGTTTCGCTACTGCAGTGCGTCATAAACAAAAACGCGAGCGATTGCGCAACCGATGATGCGCGACAACCCAGATTGCCACCAATACACATGTGTATGGTGTTTTGCTACTGCAGTGCGTCATAACCAAAATCGCGATCGATTGCGCTACTGAAGATGCACCATAAACAAAAACGCGAGCAAGACACATGTGTATAGTGTTTCGCTACTGCAGTGCGTCATAAACAAAAACGCGAGCGATTGCGCAACCGATGATGCGCAACAACCCAGATTGCCACCAATACACATGTGTATGGTGTTTTGCTACTGCAGTGCGTCATAACCAAAATCGCGATCGATTGCGCTACTGAAGATGCACCATAAACAAAAACGCGAGCAAGACACATGTGTATAGTGTTTCGCTACTGCAGTGCGTCATAAACAAAAACGCGAGCGATTGCGCAACCGATGATGCGCAACAACCCAGATTGCCACCAATACACATGCGTATAGTGGTGTGCTACTGCAGTGCGTCATAACCGAAATCGCGATCGATTGCACTACTGACAATGCACCATAAACAAAAACGCGAGCAATACACATGTGTATAGTGGTTCGCTACCGCAGTGCGTCGTTAACAAAAATGCTGTGCAACAGATGATGCGCCATAACCAGTATTGCCACCCAATATACTGACGATGCACCGAAACCAAAATCGCGAGTGATTGTGCTGCTGACGATGCACCATAAACCAAAAACGCAAGCAATACACATGTGTATGGTGTTTCGCTACTGCAGTGTGTCCTAACCAAAAACGCGAGCGATCGCGCAACCGATGATGCGCAACAACCCAGATTGCCACCAATACACATGCGTACAGTGGTGTGCTACTGCAGTGCGTCATAACCGAAATCGCGATCGATTGCGCTACTGAAGATGCACCATAAACAAAAACGCGAGCAATACACATGCGTATAGTGGTGTGCTACTGCAGTGCGTCATAACCAAAATCGTGAGCAATTGCACTACTGACGCTGCACCATAAACAAAAAACGCAAGCAATACAGATGTGTATAGTGGTTCGCTACTGCAGTGCGTGATAAACAAAAACGCTGTGCAACAGATGATGCGCCATAACCAGTAATGCCACCCAATATACTGACAAAGCACTGAAACCAAAATCGCGGGCGATTGCGCAACAGACGCTGCACCATAAACAAAAAACGCAAGCAATTGTGCAACAGATGATGCACCACAACCCAAATTGCCATTCATACACATGTGTATGGTGTTTTGCAACTGATGAAACACCATAATCAACATCGCCACCAATACACATTTCCCAGCCTGTCTGATGGTATGTCAGTGAGCTGCACAAAATCCCACACAAATGGGTGGTGCTCAATGAAGCAGCTAGGACATACATACATTGCAATTTCATGAATTGGGTTGCCTCGGGGATAGGATTCAACTTCAAACTGTATACAATGCCTAGCCGTCAAGTGGAACTCCAGCAATCCACACAGATGTACAGCGGTTGGAAAGGGTGTAGCCCAGTTTTTTTCCATAAGTGCCAAGGTCCATTCAATATACTGTCCAGTCACCGCTGAAAAATATATGTATGGTCTTGTGCAACCAGCTCACTGCAATTGTTCCCTGTTGATTGCAGTGATTGTTCCATGTGCTTGTTGTAATGTTCCCTAGGATCTCCACAATGGTTCCCTGTGATTGCATCTCCGACATGTGGCATGATATACACAAGCACGGTGTAGTTTGATTGGC